GGACTCATTAGACAAGATCTCCCCACTCAGCCTCCTGCCCCTCTCCAGTCCCTGGCTACCTTTCTACTTTATGTTTCTATGAATTTGACTCCTTTAGGTACCTCACATAAGTGGAAACATACAGTATTTGTTTTCTTATGACTGGTTTATTTCACACAATGTTCTCAAGGTTCATTTGTATTGCAGCATGTGTCAGAATTTCCTTCCCTTTAGAGGCTGAATAATATTCTATTGTATGAATATTCCACTTTTTGCTTATCCATTCATTTATTGATGGACACTTGGATTGCTTCCACCTTTTGGCTTTTGTGACTAATGCCACAAGGAACATGGGTATGCAAAGTCTATTTCATACTGTGCTTTCAATTATTGTGGATATTTTTCCATAAGTGGAATTGTTGGATCATATAGTAATTCTGCTTTTTTTTTTAATTTGGGGGGAACTGCCGTATTTTTTTTTCCATAGCAGCTGCACCATTTTATATTCCTACCAAGAGTACACAAGGGTTCTAATTTTCTCCACATCTGAACCAACACTGCTTTTCTTTTTTATAGTAACCATCCTAATGAGTGTAAGACCCAGAGAATTGTCATTCTTGATCTGTATGGCAGTTCCCTGGAAACCTTCACTTACAGGGCTTGTTTTTATTTGACCTGATACAGAGCTCTCTCTGAATCACATCTGCCTGAGGTGGTGATAACAGCTGGAATCAACAAGTTGACCAAAAAATCATGAAAAACTGGGAGTGAGATGTCCAGAGGGACCTTTGAAAAACCCTGACATATTTCTGGAAATCTGGAAGGCCACATGCATGTGCAACTGCAGGATTGCAAGCATGCCCAGGAAAGAACTGAGGAGACCATATGCTTTCACCTCTGGGTGATTTTTCTTATTGGAGTATAGCTGATTTACAATGTTGTGTTAGTGTCAGGTGTACAGCAAAGTGAGTAAGTTAGCCAAATATATATGTATTTCCACTCATTTTCAAATTCTCTTCCCATGCTGGTTATTACAGAACATTGAGTAGAATTCCCTGTGCTGTACAGTAGGTCCTTATTAGTTATCTATTTTATATATAGTAGTGTGTATATGTTGAGAAGGCAATGGCAACCCACTCCAGTATACTCTTGCCTGGAAATTCCCAAGGAGGAGCCTGGTAGGCTGCAGTCCATGGGGTCACTAAGAGTTGGACGTGACTGAACATCTTCACTTTCACTTTTCACATTCATGCATTGGAGAAGGAAATGGCAACCCACTCCAGTGTTCTTGCCTGGAGAATCCCAGGGACAGGGGAGCCTAGTGGGCTGCCATCTATGGGGTCGCACAAGAGTCAGACATGACTGAAGCGACTCAGCAGCAGCAGCAGCAGCAGCAGTGTGTATATGACCAATCCAGTCTCCTAATATATCACTTTCCCCCACGTTTCCCCTTTGGTAAACCATAAATTTGACTTTGAGATCTGTGAGTCTGTTTAAGTTCATTTGTATCATTCTTTTTTTTAGATTCCACATATAAGTGGTATTATGTGGTACTTGTCCTTCCAAGCCTGACTTACTTCACTTAGTATGATAACCTCTAGGTCCATCTGTGTTGCTACAAACGGCATTGTTTCCACCTCTGGGTGATCTTGACACCCTGTGGAAAACTCTGCTAAGTCAGAGCTGTAAACTACCTTGCTGGAGTTTTCAAAGCATGCAGTGACACACACAGAAACCCTAGGCAAAGGTTGAAGACCTGGTTCAAAGAACTTAAAGAAATCTCTACTGGCTGGCTACTAAGTTAATGAAGGTCACTTTGGTGAGCACACACAACAAAGAATATAGACTTTACAAAATCAGTTAAGAAAAGTCACTAAACAGCAGCAACAACAAACTCTGGGGAGGAGAGAATCTGAATTCCAGAGCTGCCACATTATTTCAAATGTCCACATTTGAAATTGCAATGAAAATAGAAAGTATAAACCAGACTTCCCTGGTGGTCCAGTGGTTCAGAATCCACCTGCCAATGCAGGGGACATGGGTTTGATCTCTGGTCCAGGAAGATCTGACATGCTGCAGGGCAACTAAGCCCATGTGCCACAACTACTGAGCTCACACTCTAGAGCCTTTGCTCTACAACAAGAGAAGCCACCACAATGAGAAGCCCACACACTGGAACTAAAGAGCTCCAACTAGAAAGTACTCCCCGCTCACCACAACTAGAGAAAGCCTGCCCACAGTAACAGAGTAACCCAGCACAACCAAAAATAAATACATAAAATTAAAAAAAAGTATAAACCATACACAGGGGAAAAGTCACTAAATAGAAACCATCCCTAAGGAAGCCCAAACACTGGATGTACTATAGATTTTTTTTAAGTATAGTTGATTTACAGTGTTGTGTTATTTTCTGGTGTACAGCATCAGTGATTAAGAATATATATATTCTGGGGTTTCCCTGGTGGTCCAGTGGCTAAGACTCTGCACTCCCAATGCAGGGAGCCTAGATTTGATCCCTGGTCAGAGAAACTAGATCCCACATGCCACAACTAAGAGTTCACATGCTGCAACTAAAATTCCTGCATGCCACAATTAAGACCCAGTGCAACCAAAAAAAAAAAAAGTATATATCTATCTATCTATCTACTAATCCCAAACTCATAATTTATCCCTCCTCCATCCCCTTTCCCCTTTGTTAACCATACATTTATTTTCTATGTCTGTGGGTCTGCTGCTATTTTGTAAATAAGTTCAGTTGTATCATATTTTATTTTTTGGCTGTGCTGGGTCTTTGTTGCAGCATGCAGGCCTCTCTAGTTATCTGCAGGCTTAATTGCCCCAGGGCATGTGGGATCTTAGTTCCCATAGGTTAAATTGAACCTGCCTCCGCCTGCAGTGGAAGGCAGATTTTGAACCACTAGACCATCAGGGAAGTCCTTGTATATTTTAGATTTCACATGTAAGAGTCACATGTAAATGATAGCGGGTTTCCCATGTGGCGCAGTGGTAAAGAATCTGCCTGCCAATCTAGGAGATGCAAGAGAATGCAGGTTTGATCTCTGGGTCAGGAAGACCCCCTGGAGTAGAAAATAGTAACCCGCTCCAGTATTCTTGACTGGAAAACTCCATGGACAGAGGAGCCTGGCGGGCTACAGTCCATGGGGTCACAAAAGAGTTGGACACGACTGAACGACTAACACTCTCACTGCCATATGCAACAACATTAATGGACTTCAAGGACATTTTGCTAAGTGAAATAAGCCAGACACAGAAAGACAAGTACTACCTGATTCCATTTATATGAGGTATGTAAAATAGATTTGGGACTTCCCTGGTGGTTCAGTGGTTAAGAATCCACCTTGCAATGCGGAGGACACAGGTTTGATCCCTGGTCAGGGAACCAAGATCCCACATGCCACAGGGCCACTAAGCCTATGAGCTCTAGAGCCTTTGAGACAGAACAAGACAGCCTGTGTGCTGCAACTACTGAAGCCTATGTGCCACAACTAGAGAGTCTGGGTGCTGCAATGAGAGATCCTGCATGATGCAATGAAGATCTCACGTGCCACAGCTAAGACCCAACACAGCCAAATTATAAATAAACAGTAAAAATAAAATAATCAAATTCAAAAAATTAAAAGTCTAGAATGGTGGTAAACAGGGGCTGGGTAGAGGGAGAAATGGGAAGTTATTAATCAACAGGCATAAAGTTTCAGTTAAGATTAATAAGCTCTGGAGATTTGCTGTACATTGTACCTGTAGTCAACAATAATGTATTATATACTTAAAATTTGTTAAAAGCAGAGATCTTATGTTGAGTGTTTTCATCACAATAAGATCTAAAAAATAAAGCTCTTTGGAAGAAAAAAAAATATGGATTAGTTAATCTATTTTGGGAGCCTTCTCCATTTTGCATTAATGAGAGTCTAGTTGTGACTATGGCCTTTGTCCTAGAGACATTGCCCAAGGTTTGACATTGAAACGGGTCTGCCATTTTCTTTTAAATGCTTTTCAAAATTAATTATTTTTATTTTTGGTTGCACTGGGTCTTCATTGTTGCTAGTGGGCTTTCTCTAGTTGCAGAGAGTAGGGGCTACTCTCTAGTTGTGGTATGTGGGCTTCTCATTGAGGTGGTTTCACTTGTTGCAGAGCACAGGGTCTGGGCACATGGGCTTCAACAGTTGCAGCACATGGGCTCAGCAGCAGTGGTTCATGGGCCCTAGTAGGCTTTAGTAGTTGAGGCTAGTAGGTTCAGTAGTTTCGACACCCAGGATCCAGAGCATGGGCTCAGTAGTTGTGGCACACAGGCTTGGTGGGCCTGCGGCATGTGGGATCTTCCTGGACCAGGGAACCCATGTCCCCTGCATTCGCAGGGTGGATTCTCATCTACTGTGCCACAAGGGAAGCCCTGCAGTTTTCTTTTGAAGAGTAGTTTGTAACTGGTGCTTATATCATAAGCCCCTGGGGGGTTCATTATAAGAGAGTGCTGGTTCCCAACTCCAGAATGTCAAATTCATTAGGTCCAGAGAGAACCTGAGACTTTGTATTTCTGCCCTGTTTACAGGTGATGCTGCTGCTACTGCTAGTCTGGGGTCCACACTTTGAGAATCACTGCTTGCCTGATACCACAAAGTAATAAAACTCTGCCCCTGGAGTATTGTCCTAACCTCCTCATGGGAGCCTTTGATTCAAGATATAGCCAGAGTCCCTAGAAGGACAGGAAGCAGGGAATGGCCACTCACTCCAATATTCTTGCCTGGAGAATCCCCATGGACAGAGGAACCTGGTGGGCTACACTCCATGGGGTCTCAAGGAGTCAGACACAACTGAGCAACTAACACATTGTATATAGTAGGAGGTATGAATCCAGGCTCCTTCCTTTGTGATCTTGGATTAGGCGAAGATTTCTTAGATAAGACATCAAAAGGACAATCCAAAAAGAACAAATTGATAAATTTAACTACATCAACATTGAACATTTCTGCTTTTCAAAAGCCATTGCTAACTTTCTGCCTCACCAGCCATTGTAGAGCAGTGACTGTGGCTCTGCTCTTCCCCATGGCCATGGGCTTCAACAAGGGCCAAAAGATGACCAAGAACATGAGCAAACTGAGGCACAGCCACCTCCTCGAGCGCCTTACCAAGTACACCAAGTTCATGTGGGACATGATCCGGGAGGTGTGCAGCTTCACCCGTTATGAGCGGTCGCCCATGGAGCTGCTCAAGGTCTCCAAGGACAAGCAGGCCCTCAATTTCATCAAGAAAAGGGTGGGGACATACATCTGTGCCAAGAGGAAGAGAAAGGGGCTGAGCAATGTCCTGGCCACCATGAGGAAAGTGGCAGCCAAGAAGGACTGAGTCCTTCCCCTCTGTGCACAATAAACCTTTTCAGAAAAAAAAAAAGACATTGTTAAGAGAATGAACAGACAAGCCACAGACTGCCAAGAAAAATACTTGCAAAGCATATATCTGATAAAGTGTCAGTATCCAGAAGATTGGGGAATAAGAACTGCTTCTTGAAAGGTCTATTAATAGGATATGGCAAAAGGGGTGGTGTATGAGGAAACCAGAATTGAAAGAGACACGTGTACCCCAATGTTCATTGCAGCACTGTTTATAATAGCCAGGACTTGGAAGCAACCGAGATGTCCAGAAGCAGACGAATGGATAAGAAAGTTGTAGTACATATACACAATGGAATATTACTCAGCCATTAAAAAGAATACATTTGAATCAGTTCTAATGAGGTGGATGAAACTGGAGCCTATTATACAGAGTGAAGTAAGCCAGAAAGAAAAACACCAATACAGTATACTAACACGTATATATGGAATTTAGAAAGATGGTAACGATAACCCTATATGTGAGACAGTAAAAGAAACACAGATGTACAGAACAGTCTTCTGGACTCTGTGGGAGAAGGAGAGGGTGGAATGATCTGAGAGAATAGCATTTAAACGTGTATATTATCATATATGAAACAGATCACCAGTCCAGGTTTGATGCATGAGACAGGAAGCTCAGGGCTGATGCACTGGGATGACCAAGAGGGATAAGATGGGGAGGGAGGTGGGAGGGGGGCTCAGGATGGGGAACACATGTAAACCCATGGCTGATTCATATCAATGTATGGCAAAAACCACTACAATATTGTAAAGTAATTCAGTTCAGTTCAGTCGCTCAGTTGTGTCCGACTCTTTGCAACCCCATGAATCGCAGCACGCCAGGCCTCCCTGTCCATCACCAACTCCCAGAGTTTACTCAAACTCAAGTTCATTGAGTCGGTGATGCCATCCAGCCATCTTATCCTCTGTAAAGTAATTAGCCTCCAACTAAATTAAATAAATTTAAAAAAAAGGGGTGGTGTATCGCTAATCTTCATAAAGATTCTTAAAGCTAGAAAAAATGGAATAGATGAATAATTTGCAAAGGAGAAATAGAGACACAGATGTAGAGAACAAATGACGTTTGGATAACAAGGGGGAAAAGGGGTGGGACGAACTGGAAGCTTGGGATTGACATATTTACACTACTATGAGTAAAATAGATAATAGATATTTACAATACTAAGTGTAAAATAGATAACTAATGCAAACCTACTGTACAGCATAGGGAATTCTACTCAATGCTCTGTAGCAACCAAAATGGAAGGAAATCCAAAGAAACGGGGGTGGGATATATGTACATGTGCAACTGACTCACTTTGCTGTACAGCAGACTAAAACAACATTATAAGGCAACTATATGCCAAAAAAAAAAAAGCAACCTGGGTCTCCTGCATTGGCAGGTGGATTCTTTTACCACTAGCACCACTTCATATCTTTGCTCAAATGCCACCTTCGTAATAAAACCTTCCCTGATCATCTTATGAATACTGCCCACTCTGGATCCCCTTTACCCTGCTGTACTTTCTCCCTGCACCCCCTTCCATGGTTGTTCACACCTTTTAACATACTGGATAATTCTCATGCTTATTGCCTCTCAGCCCCACTGGAAGGTCAGCTCCACAAGGGCAAGGATCTGTCTTGTTTTGCTCATTATCTTCAGTAACTAGAATCAAGCCTGGCATAGAATAGGGACTTGATGTTTGTTGAATGAATGATGTATCCTTTATGTATCCCTAGCATGCAGAACAGTACCTGGCATACAGTAGGCGTTCAACAGATACCTACTGAATGAACTGGAGCAATAGCAATAGCAATAGCAATTGGAGCAATAGGAAGTAGCAATACCAACTTCCTTGGTAAGGAAGTAGTTTTTCAAGTTGTTACTTACTCTCTCTGCTGGACGCTACAAACACAGAAGTTAAGAGGCCCCATTGTGGGAGTGGAGGGGAGCACCCTGGGGCTGAGGAAGCCATGTCAGAAAAGAGGAGCCTACCTGTAAAGATCTGCCCCCAAGCTCAGCCCCAGACAGCAGCCCCAGTCACCCAAATAACTGACTTCTCTCAGAAAGGCAGAGAAGCTGCTTCCAGAGTCAGCCACAAAGGCTGGCTCAGTGTCTGGACAGCTTCCTAACAGGGTAGCACCCTGCAAGGAAAACTTCTGGAGATTTGGCAAAAGATGTTTTTTCACCCACATCTTGCTCAGACCCTGTGATGGAAAAAAAGCCAGTCCGGACAAATGGTACAGGTCATGGTCCCCTGCTTGTGAGTGGTCTGTGGAGTATTCATGGGCTCATGGAAGCTGTTGCTGCAGTAACCGCTGCCGAGGAGGCAACACTGGCAGCACGTGTAGCAGCTGAGAACACCATGCAGACTCAGAAGGTGTTTGTGCACAGTGAACGAGGGGCAGGTTGGGAGGGCTTCCTTGTACTGCCTGTGCTTCCTAGAATGTAAGGAGGCCTGTCCTCATACTGAGGGATCAGGAGGGATCCTCTTGGGGAAGCATGAAAAGCCCCACTGATCTGCCCGGGGGGACAAGGCCCTCTGCCAGGGGCTAGGCTTTCTGAACACAGGGTTGTATTCAAGAACTTCAGGCCCCATTTCCAAAGGTGGGCTCAGGAGAAACATTAACTCCAGGAAATTGGATCTGATAAAAGATCTATTTTAAGGGCCAAGGTGCACAGAGGAGATGGAGGAATTGTCTGAAACCATCAGGTCATGTCTCATTACAGGGCAGACACGGCACCAGGGCCATTCCCTGGGGAGCTTTATGTCCTCCAGGGCATTACCAAGACAGATTTACTATGATTTGGAGAAAAGAGGAGGACTTGACTGGGTGAAGCATTTAACAATATAGGAAAACTATTTTCTGGATGTGGGCTTCCCTAGTGGCTCAGACGGTAGAATTCGCCTGTAATCCCTGGATTGGGAGGATCCCTTGGAGGAGGACATGGCAACCCACTTCAGTATTCTTGCCTGGAGAATCCCCATGGACAGAGGAGCCTGGTGGGCTAGTCCATGGGGTGGCAGAGTCGGACACAACTGAGCGACTAGGCACAGAACTCCCAACCCTTTCCAAGATTAAAAACACAAGTCAGCCTGTAATTCCAGGGCAGTGTGTACAATCACAGTGATGACACAAGAACTGGAGGGACTGAGGGTGGGGTTGCTCTCTGGTATCTGCCTTAATAACCCTGTTCAGCTAATCTTGAAAACAGATGAGTTCTGGAATTAATTAGGGATGATTTAAAAAAAATAAGCCAGTCTGTGCAAGTGTCCCTCATATTGGGGTGACTATACTAGAAGGTTTTCTAATCCCTTAGTTTACTGCGCCTATGGCCAACTCATTGTCTTTCTATACCTGCTCATTTTGGCTCAGAACAATAATCTGCTTCTGCTTGGTATAGACAGCAGCTTACCTTTATTATTCTTCTTGAGGGGGAAGTATTCAAATTCTCCACAGTGGTGCCCTGTTCTGAAGCATCAGGAGTGTATACCAGAAGCCTAGATCTAATGCAAACACCACTAACTATATCAATGATCTAATGACTGAGGATGATTTACAAACAGTTGTGCCTAAACTCTGACTTCCCTTGTGGATTTTTTTTCTTCCCTGTTGATTTTCTATCTTAGGACATTAAACAGGGAAAAGGATTCTCTGGAATCCTTTAGTAGGAAAAAAGATAACCTTTTGAGGATACAGTTCCTCGGAGAAACCAGAGAAATTCTACCCAAGATACACAAAACTTTTTTACCTTCAAAGTTTTGGGACTAAAACGGGGGCCACAAGATTAACTGGCTCCTCTGGAAAGTAGTGCTAGCATGTCCCATTGGTGGGGAGAAGCCTCCCTTCAGCCTGAATCCTGTCACAGGCTCAAGATACCCTGTGGGCATCTTCTGTGGACCAAAAGCAGAGCCTGCGAGATTCTTCCTTAGGAAGTTCTCCAGAGATGCAGCGTTCCCGAATCCCTAGTCTCTGCTCAGGGACAGGGTTCATAGCTTTGGGATTCTGACAGTGGGCTCAGGAGCAAATGGATCCTTCCATTTGGCTGGCAGCCCAAGCTTGGCGGTGGTGCTGAAAACAGGAATGGTTCCCATCTCCACTCACAGCTCAGCACACCATTTATGATCTCTTTGTTTCACGAACTATTTGAACTTTTTATTATATACTAACTTCTGGTAAACTGGGTTTGTTTCTAGCCTCCCTTCTGATCCATCCTGTCCCAGGGCCTGCACTGCGAAGTGGAGGGCAAACCATGACCACCCCCCCCACCTTCACAAAGGCGGGCTTTTCACATTGTACAGGACTGGAAACAGCCCGGGGGATGGGAGTGAGTCCACAGGTCAGTCTTCCTCCATGTCCCAGAGGCCCACAAACTGGCAGATGGCATCATAGTGAAGTTCCACCACCCTGTCTTCTCTCTGCAGCTGTACCAGAGCCCGGCTCCGTGTTCTGTCCCGGTCCAGCAGACGGCCCACCTACAGTAGGAGTGGGTCGAGTCAGCAAGGCCAAGCCAGACCAGAGACGTTCCCGTGTGCCCCTGCCCCTGTTCCTAGGTCTGCAACTCACCCTTCCAGCCCATTGCCCCAGCACCACCATCACTTGGTCACCTGGGACCTTGGGGACCAGGGTCTCCAGCATGTCTTCCCTTAGGCCTGTGGACAAGGAGAGGGGAGTGAGACCTGCAGCAAGGGCCAGCCCAGCCAGGGTCCTGTCAGAAGGGCCTTTCCTGCATTCCCTGGAGCCACTCTATACCTGTTGACAGATGGTAGTCCCCCGTATCCATTTCCCAGAGGAGGAAACCTAAGGAGCCATTCCGGGCAATAGTTATAATAAAGGGAGCATTTATGTACAACAATGATGGGGGGGGGGGGCTGATAACAGACACCATTTATTGAGGGCACATTGTATGCCCTGCCCTGCATGGGGAGCTTACAAACATCCCTGCAAGGCACTGGTCACAAGAGGGGGAAA